TGAGGCTAGGTGATTTTATAAAGAAAAGGGTTTCTTTTTTTTTTTTTTTCATTCTGGCACAAAGTTCTGGAACTCCAAGGTCAAGGGGCTTCATCTGATGGTGCTTCTGGCTGGCAGAGTTCTCGAGGCARTGCAGAGCATCACCCGACAAGAGACAGGCAGTGTACCCATGCACACAGATCTTGTGGTCTCTCCTCCTCCTTCTCCTCTTCTTCATCCRCTTCCTCCTCCCCTTCCTCCTCCACCTCTTCTCCTTCCTTTTTTTTGAGATGGTGACTCAAGGTGTTGCCCAGGGTGTCCTGAAGTCCTGGGCTCAGGTGACCCTCACAGCATGTGCCACTGTGTCCTGTCTCCTTATAAAGCCACCCCATGGTCTTATCTCACCATGATGACCTCCCCAAGTCTCCCCCTGTGAGCACCAGAGTCACAGTCCCTTTCCACCCTCTGAATACCTCACAGCAGGGATTAGATCCCTACAGGACTCCGGGACACTCACACCCCGTCCTGCACACAGGAACCTCTGAATTCACTCTCAGGTCCCAAGGGCAAGGACACAGAATCACCGTAACACTGCAGAGGTCCATGTGGAAAAGCTGGGCGCTGCCTAAAACACTCAAGGAAGGAAATTTTTTAAAAAAAAATACCCCTTTGTCAGAGTTAGTAACCATGGACAACAGGAAACAACCACACGTCCAAAGAGGAATGAATGAGTAGAACACGGTCGATCCACACAAGGGAGAACAGTCTCAGGAACGTCTACCCAACACGTGGTCAAGCAGCAAGAGCAAGGTTCCAGATGAAGGATGCCACACGTGGCTCTAAACTACCTTTGTACGGAAAGGTCTAAAAGGATGTCAACCATACGGTAGCCATGGTTACCTCCTGGGAAAGAACATGGGAAGAGAAAATTTGCTTCTGACAGGAAATATTTTGTAGTATTTGAATGGACCGTGTTTTGACAACGTTGTATTCTTAGGTTAACTTATTTAATTCAAGGAAACAACTCAAAAATATATAAAGAGATTATTTGATCGGAAGTAGAATTGACAAAGAGTAGAGACCAGGGAATCCTGTGGGAGGTTGTGGCCGTCGCTCAGGTCCAAAGGATTGTGCCTGACACAGGGTAGAAGGGACAGTGAGACACAGCCGAAGGTGTGTGCAACCAGGACAGTGTGTGGATGGGAGGTGGCAGGGACGTGGCGGGACATCCGGGCTGAAGGCCACAGGCTGCCATGGTAAACCTAGGAGCTTCAGAACACAGCTGCCAGGACTCCAAGTCCAAGGCACCTCAGGGACACGKGACAAGTTAGTTCCCATCTCTGTGTCTCGGGTTCCTGTAAAGTGGAAAGGATGATATTTCCTAGTTCAGAGAATTTTTGAGAATTAGTTCACAAAAAGTGCTCAGAACTTGGCTGCACAATACATGCTGCTGGTCATTGAGGAAGCACTGGGCACCGATGTCTACCAAACTGTTACGTCCACCTACGAAGACACCACCTTGAACCCTGCTTATGGGTGTAATTGTGTTGGTCCTTGTTGGAATGACTGCTGGAGAGGGGTCCTGGGCCCTTAGCAGGCAATGACCAGCTCGAAATAGAGAGAAACATAAAATGATTTAAAGCAAGCACTCTCCAGCACTGAAAGAAAGAGAAGAAAAAGGAAACCAGGAAACCTGATGGTTGGGCTGACTCTCAGGCTGCATCTGCGAGGAAAGGAGAGATGCTGAGAGGAACGCACCTGGCCAGTTGGCCAAGGATTAGGTTTGAAGGAACTTACATGGAGAGCTATATTTCAAAACGGAGAAACACAGGTTGAATCTTTCTACTCTTTCTAGTTTTTGAAATAGATATGCAAAATAATACATACATATATTATGCACGTATTCCCACACTCTTATTATGATGGATGAAAACATTAAGCCTAAGCAAAGGTACCCTGAGCAAACGCAGCTTCATTTCCTGCCCCAGATCCCTTTCTCTGCTTCTGCATCACGGCACTGAATACCCAACTTGGGGGATGAGATCAAAACAACAGCTTTATATCCCAGCAGCTCTGGAAGCTGAGACAGGAGGAATGCAAGTTCAAGGCCAGCCTCAGCAACTTAGCAAGACCCTATAAAACTTATCAGGATCCTGTCTCCAAACAAAAAATACAAAGGGCTGGGGATGTGGATCAGTGGTTAAGCAYCCCTTGGTTCAAGTCCCAGTACTACTACTAMTAMTAMTAATAATAATAATAYAGTATAATTATCATCTTTGACTATCTCTTTCAAATTTATTCAGGTGATACCTGTATCCATTCAGGCTGCTGTAACAAAATACCTTAGACTGGGTAATTATAAACAACAGATATTTATCACTCACAACACTGGAAGCTGGACAGTCCAAGATCAGAACAGATTCGGGGGCTGGTGTAGACCTCTCTTTCTTCACGGTTGGTGTCCTTGCACAGGAAGGGGTAAACATACTCCCTTAAGTCCCTTCTACAAGGCACTAATCCCATTTGTGAGTGCAGCACCCACATGACTTAATCGCCTTCTAATTGTCCTACTTCCCAACACCAACACCTCAGAGCTTAGATTTTAACATGCAAATTACGGAAAGACACAGACATTCACACCCTAGCAAGGGAGAGAGTCTTATTCCAGCGCTAGAGGGAAACCCTAATAGGCCCATGACTTTTCTGCTTCAGAAATTAACCTGTTCATCCGAACAACTGAACCCACATTGGATTTTCAATCGAATCTTCTCTAGTCCAGCTGGGACCTGCTTCCCACCTTGCCCTTCTCCTTCTCCCCCATTCAGGGTGGTCGGCAGCTTCCAATTCCTCTGGGGCACATGATTTGGGAAGGCACTGTGAGAAGACAGGAGAAAGTAGGTCTCTATCTGTGCCATCCCACGGATGTGGGCTGGTGTGGAGAGACCGGGCTGCCCTTCAGAGCTCACCCCCAAGTGTAGCCCCCATAGAGTGTGTGTATGCCAGCTTTCCATCCATATGACAAGGACCTTTCCTAAAGAAAGGAAGCTTATTTCAGCTCACAGTCTCGGGGTCTTGGTCCATGACGGTTTGGTGCCATTGCTTTGGGTACATCATGTGGGAGACTAGGATAAAACAAAACTGCGGACTTCAAGACTGGGAAGCTCAAGGGAAAAAGGAAGGGCCTGGGCCCAACCATTTCTTTTAAGGACATTCCCCCAGCGAACTCCTCCCACTAGCCTCACTTCTTGAAGGTTCCACCACTTCCCAATGGTGCCTTGGCCTCTACCACATGCACCTTTGGAGGAGTTTCCCGAGCCAAACTACAGCCAAACTACTTTATGCTCAGCTCCCAATCAGCACTCAGATTCGGCACCATTGACTCTCCTCTGGGGCCCTTTCTCACTCTCAGGAAGAAGTCTCCAGGAGCAAATGAATCCAGAGTTTCTCTTGTATGTCGTCCATCTCTGCTACCAAGGAAGAGTTCTTAACTCCCTTGCAATAGATGCCCCCCAAGGCCACCTCCACTCTGTGACTACAGGTAACTTGAACTCATCAGGCGTGTGTCAGGGTCTGGTCCCTTTTGCCTCCCAACTACAGGAACCAAACTCCAGGCTCCTCTGAATGGTCCCAGGCTTGAGGGAAGGAGGTAGCAATTGCCCCAGCCTACTCACAACTACAGTATCCTCTCAAAGGGAAACTAATCCCATTACTAATTCCTCCCATTCCACAATCTAATCCTTTCTAATATCTTTAATCTGACTAAGAAGTACCAGGGTAAGGGAATTTGTTTGTAATCATTCTGCACAAGTGGATTGAGCTTTGAAATTGGCCACCCATTATACAGCCTGATGTTTCAATCTTGAAAATTCAATTTTAATATCCCTTTGCACATACACATTTAACTTTGGTTTAGATGCTCATCATTTACACAAATGTTTCCTTCCTACATCTTCCTGGCGATTTCCATTGTTGTGTTTAGATGAAACTAAGCTGGCCTGGAACGCTTACTGGTAAGCATATGGTGTGAGTCAGCTTTTCATCGCTGTGATCAAAACACCTGACAACTTAGTGGTGGAAACATTTATTTTGGCTCTGGTTTCAGAGCCTCAGTCCAGGGGCAGCTGACTCCATTGCTCTGGGCCTGGAGGTGAAACTGAACGCTGTGGCAGAAGGGTGTGGTAGAGGAAAGCTCCTCGGGTCACGGCAAACAGGAAGCAGAGGAAAGCCCACGGGAGCCTTAGACAAAATATAAACCCCAAGGGCAAGAAGCACCCAGTGACCTACTTCCTGCAGCCACACCCCACCTGCCTACAGTTACCACCAAGCACAGAAGTCCCTTCAAATTATTTCATCAAACGCATAAGCCCACGGATTAGGTTATAGCTGTTGTGATCTAATCATTTCACCTCTGAACGTGATTACATTGGATATCCTGTCTCCAATACATGAGCTTTGGGGGGAAGGGGGCATGTCATATCCAAACCACAACAACATACATGGTTTCACTTCTTAGATGTTAAACATCGTCCAGTGGCCCCTAATTCTTTGCAATGGCAGCAAGCAGTGATAATAAAGTCTTCCAGCAGGTTAAATCTGACACCACATCCCTTTAACTTGATGGACACAGAGGTATTTTTTTAAAGCGGAATTTGAATGCTTTTTGCTTATCCACGGTCCCATTTCCCTGCAGCTGCCACAGATTTGTTCATTTCCTTGAATCATGGAATATGGTTTGTGATTTATACATCTTGCCTTTGTAATCTCTCATTCTATTTCCTCCCTCATAAGATCACCATTTTAGCAAATGTAAGATCTTTTAAGAGAGGAAAAGGAATTATCATAGCATTCCTCTCCTTTTCCCCTCCCAGATCAAGAGCTCCTTCTTGGCTAGCTAGCTAGGATCCTTCAAGATTAAGAAGCAATTTTATAGTTCTTGCCGCTTTTTGCACCTCCAAGCGCCAGAGGGCGACAAAACTCGGAACTGTTCATTGGCGTCCCATAAAGGCCGCTCTCGACGTGACGTCTTTACGTAGACGTTGGGGGCGGGGCCGCTGTGCGCGGTGACTGGCGGCGGCACTGGCGGCAGCTGGAGGCGTAATAGTTCGGGTCTTGAGCTTGGAGAAGTTCCGAGGCGGCGGTGGCGCCGGCGGCGACTTCGACAGCAGGAGCGGGCCGCGGGCTTGTCGCTCACCATGCCGACGGTGGAGGAGCTTTACCGCAACTATGGCATCCTAGCCGATGCCACGGAGCAAGTGGGCCAGGTGAGTCCCGGAGCGGCCTGCAGGGCCCGGAGCTCCGCGGCCTCTCTACAGCGCTGCCCGCCGCGCACCCCGGGCCGGGCGGGGCTGCCGCTGTGCTGCCGTGGGCTCCCAGCCGCGCTGGGCTGTTTCGTCGGGTTGGACACACTGGCAGTATAGACTCCGGCTTCCCCCGGGAGATCGGTCCCCCGGGTCCCAGGCTTCACTACCGCCCTCAACCAGCCTTTTCTCCCCTTGGCGATTCCTAACTCAGCCCCTTCAGGCTCAGGTTAATTCTCTTCGCCCTGTAGAGATTCCTCTTCTCTCTTTCTCCTTCGTTTCGGTAGAACTTAGTTATTCAAAGATTAGGCTTAAAGTTTTCGAGAGATCAAAAAATAATCTCTTTGGAGGCAAAAGTTTCTATTACTTTAGGGAAAGTGCTGAAGAGATCAAAGGTTGTAAAAAACAGATAAGGGCCCTTTTCCTCCACACTTCAACAAGGACGCGAGGATTTATTTACTCAGTACCTGTTTTGAGTGCCTATCGTGCACCAGGTGATGTGCAGGGCGCTGCAGGTGCAAATGGAAAAGATTTGTGCTCTCCCGGGAGGTGCATCTAGTGAGGGGGACTGATGACACATAAGTAAATAGGAAATATTTTACTTTGTTTTGTTTTGTTTTAAATGAAGAAAGTAATACAGAACTGTGCAAGGCAATGTCTTGAGAGGGGAAGGATGCAGCTCTTAATAGAGTCTTCTGGCAAGCACTTTCTGGTGTGTTTGCCGCAGACACGTGGTTTAGTTTTCAACTACTGTAGAACATTGAACTGTCGGGTGGGTGTATTCTTGAGAACAAGGTTCAGGTTGCCCTGGAGGTACATTTTATTGTTTAGAAATCCCATTCTATATGTTTTCAGTGCTTAGAAGCTTCTGTGCCTCTGCTTACACATCTCATAGAGTAGAAAGCGGACACCATCTTAGAAAGTCTATATTAAAGCATTGACAGTACTCCTCCTGTCCTTTTCTTGGATGTGTGTAGATCAAGTACAGTGTCTTCCTAAGCTGAGCAAAAAATAATAATAATTAATTTATGTTGGGACCTTATTATAACTTRACCTAGAATTATGACTATACCAATTTCAAGTGCCAAATGATTTTCCTTCCCTACTTATTTCCATTTTAGTAGGGAATTTCACTGTTACCTGTAAGAACTGTTTACTGACACTATTGTAAATGTATGGAGAGTATGCTAAGTTAGTTCTGAAGGAGTTTTCTGCCCATTAAGACAAAATGGGGGAAATTATGGTTATGGTTTCAATTTGTTGTTCCTAGTAAGAACTAGCACTGAAGAATTCTCAATCATTGTATAATTTGTCTTGTGATTGAGTTGGGGAAGATTGTAGCAAATTAAGCTGCCTAAATTTGACTTTGTTGCACATCAGCAAGAGGGGATAAGTTGGAAACTAGAACAGTGATTCTCACCTGCTTTGCAAATTGTGATTTCCTGAAGAGACATATGTGGAATCTTATTTGGAAGACTTTGAAACTGTATGCAAAGAGATGTCTCATCCCTCACCCTCATTTCTGGTGGAGTAGAAGTTATTTAACTCCCTACTGTGAGTGTATTAGGGCAAGTGGAAACTAAGTTGTAATTTATATATGTACAGATTGAGTATCCATTATCTGAAATTCCTGGGACCAGAAGTGTTTCAGATTTAATATTTTTTCAGATTTTGGAATATTTGCATAGCCTGTATAGGTAAAGCATCCCAAATCCAAAGTGCTCTTCAATCTAAACTGTTTAAGCACCAACATGACCTGTACTATGAGAAATTGAGATTTGCCAAGATTTTCCTGTTAGGGCATCTTTAATTACAAAAGCTTGAGATTGAGCTTGAGCTGACTCCAAGAGAGCAACAATGTCTTTCATAAAGCAAAAATTTGCTATTTAGGAAGAGCGTATAAGGGCCAGAAATTTCTGGAAAAGGGAAAAGGGACATAAATTTCTCCATACCTTAATGAAGCCCATGATTTCATTTATTCAGTACATTTTTTGAGCACCTACCATGTACTAGCACTAGAATATAGCTTGTTTTCCTGTAAACAATGGGTAGTCAGTGCTTTCATGACGCCATAGTAACAGCCATAGAGCAACTACTTAAGGTAAAAAAAGTCTTGAAGTGTAGTGGAAGTGTAGTGATTTGCCATCAGTTCATTGAATTCTGGGAGAATTGAAGCTACTCAAATTGTAATGCCTACTAACTCTGCTCTGATGTATAATACTTCTTTCCTTTTAAAGAAAGTACCTAAAACTGTTCACCAAAAAAGATAGTGAGTTTCAGGATATTGGTTGTAATTTTAACTAACTAAGGCAAGAGCAGATTTAATGGAGAAGACACCATTAAATATTTGAATTTAGGAGATTTACAATCCAGACTTAAGTTTTCTGGCAATTCCTATCCGGCACTTTACTGAGACTGTATTTGAGTTTGTCATTCTCTAACTTCCTTCTGGCTTTTTTGATTTTCAGCCTTTGCCAGAGAGGTGAGCACAAAGATTGCTCAGGTTGCTGCCACCCTTTGTACACTATTGTCAACATTTCTTTTAGAGTGTGCCCTCAAAATATATAAGGAAAGTACGAGTCCTCTGAGGTTTCATCAAGCAGATCATATATTTATCTTTTTGAACCTCCTTAGCACTGTGTTTGTATTTATTAATAGTACTTTAGATTTGTATATTTTATTTCAATGTGGACTTCTCTTATTCCTTTACTAAGTTATGTTCTGGAGATTGAGTTAAATCTATTTGTTTATTTATTTTTGCTTCTCTCTTTGCACCTGCCTTGCCCTCCAGTAGACATTTCTTTCTCAAAGTTGAAGAAATGCATACAAAGAAGGAACAGATAGATATACATACCAAAAAAATGTACAAGGATTCTGATGAATGACAAAGGGAACTTTTACTTTCTAGACATACATGGGAACATATATCTTCTAATAAGCCTGTCACAAATGGTAAATTCTAAGGGAATATTAATAACCAAAACCTTCTAGTTTCTCTTATCATATTTCTTTTTTTCTTTTTTTTTTTTTTTTTTTTGCTTCTATGTTCCCTTTACTCAGCCTCCCCCCACATCTGTTGATTGTCTTCAGTTCTGCCTCCTTTGCTGTGCTCCTATTTCTCTCTAACCATTTCCCACTGGCCATAATAAAGCAAGGTGTGATCCACCATTATTTTAAATTTTGTTTTAAATATTTGTGAATTTACTTAATTTTTAAATGTAGATACTTAATTTTGTATTGTCAAAAATCTGAAAAGCTTAAGAAAACTTACCAGATACCTGTTAAAGGGATTGGCAGTGAGGCTGATCTGAGATTAGATCTATATAATGCCTAACCCTTCCTTTCTCCTCTTGGTCTCCTACCCATTGAATACATTGGCTCTTCATGTAGAGCAGTGTGGGCTTTATTGACTTTAATTTCATGAATACCACTCTTTCAGTGGCTTTATTTTGTATGATTAAGCTAAAGTACAAACCAGGTTCATAAGTACTCTAAAATATGTGGAAGTATTAACAGCCTGTATTATCATCACATACAAACTGGATTTACTGAGTTTAAGACAGAAGGTGGTAATGTAGCTTAAAACATTTTCTTTTTATGTCATACTTAAGAAATGTATTTGTTGAAACTCCATCCTTCTCTAAAAGAATGTTTTATGTCAGAGAGGCTGCATCATGGACTTAAGTGTGGCTTTACCTGGCACATCACCTACCTCTTATGCCTATTGGATGTGTTTTAAAAGTCACTGCCATGAATTTTTTGTAGAGAGAAAGAACGAGTGTGTGTGTCTTGTGTTTTCTAGAGAAGGAGGAGGGAAGGAAGGCATACAAAAATTGTGGATCCAACTGTACCTTACTTTTTTTTTACTTAAAAGTATCTTAGAGGTTTCTTTTAAGTTTCTATTTTTAGATATTAAAAATATGCCAACGTATGCAGCTTGAGAAATGTATTAAAGTGTTTACAATTACAACTTGTTGGGATCACAAATTTATCTGTCTAAATGAAATATACCATTGTGTTAGAACCGGAAAAATAATCAGTACTGTATGTTATTTGGAATATTTTCTTGTAGTAACATTCTACCTATCACTAAGTCACTGTGATTACTTAGAATTTCAATTTCATTTGTTTCCTACTTTGAGTAACACAAGTAATAACTACTGTACCTTAAATTCTGTTTAGTTTAAAAAAAAAAAAAGTTTTCCCTATATAGTGTTGTAGAAAATTACTCCAAGAACTGACAAGAAAGAGCACGCTTTATTTTGCATTATATTAAGGGTAATTGCTTGAAGTCTTTATTAATAATAGTCACTAAATTATTTGATGAAACTAAGACCCACTGATGGTAGAAACTTTGAATTCTGGCTTGAATGTGTTGAAATGTATTAAATTTCCAAAGGTCCTACTATATTTGCAAGGCTGTGTCCCAGTTGAAGTGTCTGCATGGAGCCTATATTTAGGGCTTAAATTTTACCTTTGAAGGTCCTAGATCTGATAAGTGCTTTCCCCTTTTTTTGTTAAATAAGATCCTAGAACATAAATTTGAATCAGTCCAATTAAAGAAGATTGGTGTTAGGCCAGGTTCTTGACTATAGAGCCCAGCATAACTGTGTTTGGGTTCTAGATCTGCTCAACTTGCTGCATGGCCCTGGACAAATTATTTCACTTCTGTGAGCCTTGATTTTCTCACCAGAAAATAAAAATACCTGTCATGAGGAATGTAGACAAGGTATCACTATCCCTGGTAGACTTTCATTGAATCCTGCTAATGATTCCTTTTTATTTGATTCCAAGTTTTTTTCTTTGGCCTGGGGAAGGTTTGCTGTAAGCAATTTTTTCATATAATTTTACATAATATAAGGCATTTCTTCACATTACTTTAAAAGTAAAGCTTTAAATTTGAATAGAAATTTTAGATTTGTGGTTCTCTGCAAAATGTAGGGATGTCAGAACTGTTCAAGACTGATTTTATGAAATCTGACTAGAAGCTGTGCGGTGAACCACAGGAATGTGAAATGGTAGAAAAATAAGCTATGATATTTTGAACCTTTGCACTGAAAAATATGTAATTTACTTTTTAAGTAATAACTCCTGAAGACTGATGTTATGTCTGCATTTCATGAGGAAGCTAAATGTTTTTCACAGAAATTTCTTATTTAGGAATTGGTGTTCTGTTTAGTGTGTTGATAACTTTACATTTTACTTTATTTTTTTTCCATTCAACAGAATATTGTCCATGAAAAAAAATAGTTATAAAATATTTTGCTGACTCTACAGTTTATTGGATATTTGTTAATCATTCCTCTCTTGATGGCATGATGTAAGCTCATATGACTAAAGCACTTAGTGCATTCCTTATACAGTGTAAATGCACACTAAATTGTGGGTGGCATTTGCTATCAAGATTATAATTCTTAAGGACATTTTTCATTTATTAAAAGTTTTATTCAGATGTCACACAAAAGATATATGTATGGTCTTATTCTGTATTTATCACTGTTACTTACCAGCTTGACCAATGTCATTTAATAAGAGGACTGGTTTGGAGGCAGCTGTGTAACAAGGATTAGGAACTTGTTGAGTATTCCCATTTAGACCACTTAAGAATTCTTTTTAAAAGAAACAAATGACTTGAATGCGTTATTCTAATATGTAACTTTAGACTCTGATTCCAAATTTGGCTGGATTTATAGAATAAGTTGTTACTATCATATCCTAAAAGATGAAGCAAAATTAAACTGTTCTTCCTAACCTTCCTGAAATTGCTTGATTTCAGAAATGTATTTCTTCTACCTTCTTCAAAGTGCTAATGGAAAAAGGGGTAATTTTTATGATTAAATGTAACGCAACTCTTTGAGAATTCTGTGGTGTTCATTACCATTTTTAAGCATCACACAGTCACAGAGCTAGAGTTAATGATCTCTAAAATGAAAAAAATGTTAGTATATTAACAATCTTATTTGCTTTTTCCACTTAAAATTGGAATTATCTTTGTCTCTTCCCTAATTAAAATAAAATTGGGGTATGGGTGAAGAAGCAACAAGGTGGAAAAATAGGTGTCTGATATAAGCAGTAAAACTCCAAAAATAAGTCTTATTTCTTAGCTTCTAAAAATTTAAAGCAGACCTGAACATGTTTGTTAAAGTTGTATTTAGATTCACATTCTTCAAAATTATGCTTCTTTTCTGCTGCATTCTTTCTTTCAGCATAAAGATGCCTATCAAGTGATATTGGATGGCGTGAAAGGCGGTACAAAGGAAAAACGATTAGCAGCTCAGTTTATTCCTAAATTCTTTAAGCATTTTCCAGAATTGGCTGATTCTGCTATCAATGCACAGTTAGACCTCTGTGAGGATGAAGATGTATCAGTAAGTTTATGATTGACACTTTTCAACAATCTTTCAAATGTTTTTATATTGGAATAATAAAATCATAGTTACCATATCAGTGCATAATAAAATATCACAGCATTTCCTGGTATTGCACCATATCTAGGCTTAAATCTACATTTAAGAAAATGTATTAGTTCTTTTACCRCCTTTTGTTGTGAAAAATACGTAGAATCACAAAATGATTTGTTTTTTGTGTTCATTACTCACTACTAAAAATGGGTTGTGGCTCACATCTTTCTCATATATTGTTATTCATTGTGCTATAAAATTAGACTGGTAGTTAATACAGTTTTAACACCCTTATATGTTTTGCATGGCAGAAAAATAATTGGCCAATGTAATAATTATATATGATTACTAGAATAAGAAGAAATCATTTCTCCCTGGAATAGAATTAACTGTTAGCATTTCTGGCTGTTGATGAAAGGTTTCTAAGAATTTTCAAGTATTATCTCCTGGCTTTCCAAATGAAATCAATGAATCAAACATTGCATATAAATGAATATAAACCCTGGATGTAAACCCTGTGTGATTTTTTTTTTTTTTTAACGTTAAACCTAATAAGTTAAAATCAGTATTTGGAATTAATCATAACCACAAGTGCTATATTAAGTAGTCAGTACTGAAAATTCTAAAATAGAGTTCCTGAGTATGACATTGCCACAGAAGCTGTTTTAAAGACTGTATTATATGTCCAAAGATAGTTAAAACCAAACAGTTGTATATAAACGTTTGCGATCTCAAATCTGCCTACACCAATCTCGGGTATTATATTTAACATCCTTTCTACTACATTTTGGTGACATATTCTGTAAAATTTGGATATTAATTTGAAGCAGATTTGTTCAAGCACAGTGCTCATACCTGTCATTTCCAGCTCCTCAAAAGAGTAAGACAGGAAAATTGAAGTTCTCCCAGAACTTGCTAGCCTGGACAATGTAGTGACACCCTATCAGTTAAAAAGAAAAGAAAAGAAAAACTTGGAGCAAAGTATTTTTTAAACTACTAAAAATCTCATATCTTATGTTTTAACAACTTTTCTTAACATGGTTTCTGTGTGGTTTTAGTTTTCTTAAAAAGCTGAATTTGTTGTTTTTAATGATAACAGCCTTTGATTAATTTTCTGTTTGAAATCATGCCCAGATTCGACGCCAAGCAATTAAAGAGCTGCCTCAATTTGCCACTGGAGAAAATCTTCCCCGAGTGGCAGATATACTGACCCAACTTTTGCAGACAGGTAAGAAATTTTATTATTACCTTTTTGTATAACTTCTCTCTGAAATAGTGTCTATTTGGGAGGAGTGCCAAAGATCCTACCAAAGAGGTTAAACTTTTTCAGTAATTTGAAACTTAATGACTTCTGATTATGTAATTTTTATTTTATTGTGTTTGGAGGGGTATTGGGTTGAATGCAGGGCCTCACTTAGAAAACTCTGTATCACTGGGCTATATATATCCCCTGCCTCTGATTTTGTAATTCTTGGTGTTTTGTTTTTAATTTTGTTTTCAGGGGTGTAAAGACTGAATTCTCTTGGGAATTTTGATGCATCATCATCATCGTAATTTTACCCCCAGTTTCCTGTAGTTCAATAATTGTACCATCTTTACATAAAAGTTTCCTAGGTATGCTAGATCAGGTTCTCTGTCCTTATAAGGAAATGTGTCTTTTTGGTACTTGAGAAAATTGCTTAGATATAAGTTTGCTGATAATGTAATCTGTGAAAAGCTATGTTGAATATTACGTTTGGAAATGAAACAAATGGTATTTAAGATTTATTTTATATTCACTGCACTACTTTTTCTCTATCCAGATGACTCTGCAGAATTTAACTTAGTAAACAATGCCCTGTTAAGTATATTTAAGATGGATGCAAAAGGTAAGGCCAGTTCTTATTCTGAATTGTGTTTGATGGTTTAAGAAATAAGTTAGATTAAGGACAAAGTTTGGAGTTCACCCAGAGATTTATTTCATAAAAACTGTAGGTATTCTTAAAAAAGCAAAACGAAAACAAAAAATACTTTAAGTCAAGATGTTTGTGACTAGAAAATTACAATAGAAATAGTTACAGGGGCTGGGGTTGTGGCTCAGTGGAGAAGTGCTTGCCTTGCACATGCAGGGCCCTGGGTTCAATCCTCAGCACCACATAAAAATAAAAAAATAAAGGTATTGTGTCCAACTACAACTAAAATTGAATACTAAAAAAAAAAAAAAAAAAAAMAAAAGAAAGTTGCAAAAACAAATCATACTTCTCCTTTAGAATTCTGTTGGAAAAAACTTATTTTGCACTTTATAGAAATTCTTCTGAAATATCTGGGATTTATTATTAATGATAGAAAGGGAAAGTCATGCTCAAGCTGATTCTAGCCAAGAACAAAATGTGTGATTACTCCTGTATTGGGTCTATAGACATTTTAAACCAACTTTTAGCCAGTATTGATGATATCCATGATATTTATCTTGTTTGAAAAGAAATGCTATACATTGAGTTACATTTATAACTTCTTTACAGTATACATTGACTTGCTGCAGATAACTATTTTCTTTTACAGGAACTTTAGGTGGCTTATTTAGCCAAATACTTCAAGGAGAGGACATTGTTAGAGAACGAGCTATTAAATTCCTATCTACAAAACTGAAGACTTTACCAGATGAAGTCCTAACAAAGGAAGTAGAGGAGCTTATCCTAACTGAATCCAAAAAGGTAAGCAGCTGTCATCATTTAATAGAAATTCTCTAAAGCAATATAACAATTACCAAATTGGCAGTATTTGCCAGTGCTGTATGTAGCTTGAGTAAAATGATACATCCCATTAGAACCACCACAGAACTCCCAAGTTTCTTTTTATATGGTATTTAGCATTTGGCCACTCATAATGATAAAGTAGTGAATTAATTTAAAGGGATGTAATCATATTTAAGTCCTTTCTGGTATTGTCCTCAAAACTTATGTGTCTTTTAGAACTCTGTTTAGATCACCTCCTTTAGGAAACTCCCTGATTCCTACCTCTTTCTCCCCTTCAGGTATTCTGCACCATTTCAAAATGAAGTATATCATTATATTGTCACATGGAAATGATCTGTTTTTTCATCCTACCCCATAGCACTGTAAACTCTTCCAAGAGGGTAAAACCATGCCTATGTGTCTGTGTTCCCAACATCTAGTATAGTTACAGATGCTAAAATTGGCAAGGTTTGTCAGAATTAACTTTTCACTCATTTTAAAGTGCCAAAGTTTGGAAACAATTTACATTTCCTAATATGTTCAAGAAGTTTCAAAAGTTTCTCTATAATAGCACCACTTTCTTGCTGATAAAATTTCTTCCTTGAACAAGGCATGACTTTCCTGGGAATACCTTGAATATTTTACCTATTCCCATCTAATAAGTCATGATGCAAGAGTATGTCATGATTGCAAACTCCTTTGGTCGGTAAATACAAAGGGTTAGACCCAAAGATATGAGAAGAGAGCCTTTTTGTATGTATTTTTTCTTAGCCACTCTTTTTAATGCCACAGGCATTTTGTATGTCTGTTTACATTCTGGATGTGTATCTTGTGCTTTGTAGGTAACCAAGTAAAATTTCCTAAGAATGAATTTTTGTCCCCTTGGAGAGTGCATGGTTTACCCTGAAGCCAGAAGTTGTCTTTTCATCAATATTTCAGAAGCAATAATATCAAACTGACTTTAGTAACTGAAATAAATTTGCCATTCTTTCATGAAGTTTTGATCTTTCCTGCCCATTCCAGTGATAAAAATATTGTTATTCTGAATTGTCTTTTTCCAGGTCTTGGAAGATGTGACTGGTGAAGAATTTGTTCTGTTCATGAAAATACTATCTGGGTTAAAAAGCTTACAGACAGTGAGTGGAAGACAGCAACTAGTAGAGCTTGTGGCTGAACAGGCCGACCTAGAACAGACCTTCAACCCCTCAGATCCTGACTGTGTGGACAGGCTCTTACAGTGCACGCGGCAAGCAGTACCCCTCTTCTCTGTGAGCTCTTTGTTTTATATAACTCATATTTTGATTACTCTATTATCTATAGATATTCACTTGAAATACTCTTCTCAGACTTTTCCATAAAAGTATTCATAACACATGGGGGTGAATAGAGAGTCTGGAGTGGGGTTTGTGAGAAAAAAAAATGCAGGAAGAAATTTCATTAAAGCCTTGCTTTTAAGTCATGCAGATTTTGCATTCTGTCTCTAGCTTTGTGTTTTCCTTGGCCATCAGTTTTCTGGGTTATGTATATCTTAGTTTGAAACACCCATGTTTAAGGATCTGTCCTTTTGAGAATTATGTAGTCTGAAAATGCAACACTAACCCTCCTGAATTTGACTTCAAATTGATTTGCTTCTTTGATGGAAGAGTTCAGAGGGTTGTAGATGTCCCAGTGTTCCAGGTGCCTGCAATGAAGTGTACAAGTCTGCTGATGTTATTTCTGGGGTGCCCTGGGGCATGCATTATATCTTACTTTTAGTTGCAGTATTTGAGGCCATGGTACTTAGTTAACACTTTTGAAGCACATTCTACTGTAATATTTGAGAAAGTATTTCTTTCAATTTTTTTTTTTGACAACTTGATATTCTTTGGATTTTTTTATACAGAAAAATGTTCATTCCACAAGATTTGTGACTTATTTCTGTGAGCAAGTTCTCCCTAACCTCAGTACCTTGACTACCCCTGTGGAGGGTCTTGATATACAGTTAGAGGTAAGAAAAAATTCTTGTTTTCTGCACTGAAAAGACAAAAATATAGCCTTGTATTTTAACAAAATTGTAACCACCAACTTAGATATAATTTCTAAGGGAGTAATTTAAATGTCTGGTAATGGCTAGCCAGTAAATTCCTGGGCTAGGRTTAATTGCATAGAAATGATTTATGGGTTCAATTGTAGTTTGCTGCAATGGAAAAGCACTGCCTATAGATTACATTATAGTCCTTGGAATCCTTAACATTTTTAAATAACATGTAACAGTTTCTATTGAAGCCATAACTTACAGAACCAGAATTAAACTCAATTAACAAAATATCCATAACCCCTGATCAATGGAATTAACTATTTTCCTGCCTTTCTATCTTAACTGTAATATACATAATTTTTTTCACAGCATCTATAATACTTTATACTTATTTATCTCTCTCTCCCTATATGTAATCTAATTCACTTCTGCATCCCCAGAATCTAGTAAAGATTCTGATTCTGAAGAGCACCTAATGACTCTTTGAGTTGGATAGAAATGTGGAAGTGGAAGTGCCATTTCCCTCTTAGGCTTCTGGGACAACAAAGTTTCACTATGCACAGATGTCCTGGGCTAGGCTCATCAGGTTGGGACTAATGAAGGAAGGGATGAACATTTAGAATGTTGACAATTACCAGTATTTTGAGTTACTATCTGGAGACAAAGTTTAATAGTAAAAGAAGCCCACCTTAAATGCTAGTAAATAATTCTTTGCTGTTAAAAGTTCTAAGTGTCTTTTTATAGTACAAGTTAAGTTAGTTAACATGTTTATTTTTACATTTAATTAGCACTGTCATTTACCTATAACAGAAAGTGTCTGTTATTCTTTTCTGTATTCTCACAGATACATTAGGAATCATGAGATCTTGGTTTAGAGATCTCTGCCCTTCACATGCACTCTTACCAAGTCACATTATTTCTGGCCTTCCACTTTACTCAACAGTAAAAAGTAGGGCTGCATTTCTAAGATTTTTTTTCCCAGTTCAAACATAAGGATTCTGTAAAAGCATAATAGAAAATAAAGAAAGTCTTAAACAGTTATCTAGGATTATTCTCATTTTATAGTCCTCACTCTCTCAAAAAATAATATTTTTTGTTTTAGGTATTAAAGTTGTTGGCAGAAATGAGTTCATTTTGTGGTGACATGGAGAAGCTAGAAACAAATTTAAGGAAACTATTTGATAAGTTATTGGTAAGAACTTTTTCCTTTTGGTATAGTCAGTATATATCTTTAAAGATTGATTTAGTATTAATTAATGACAGAGAACCAGCTATTGACATTTAGATTAAGTAACAATTTTCTCAATTAATAGTTGGTCAGGCGAACATTGTCTACTTTTTTAAAAAGTCTGTTTTCATCTTGGTATTTCTTCTGTTGTTAATGCTTTGCATAGTGCCACACAAAATTTAGATAGCAGATCTTTCTCTTGTTCCATATCAAAATGTCTTTGTCTGTGTGAAAGAAATTAGCAACTCTTCCAAATGTGCCAAACAGTCTTAAAACTAAAGTTAGCATTGCAGGGTATCATTTGTTCCAGGCCACCAGCTGGTAGCCTCCTGAGGCAAAGGAGCTTTAGCAACCAGGAAATAAAGTCTGTCATTTAAGTTGTAATTGTAGAGAAAATAGGCCATCTGATAAAAATCATTATCAGCATAACTGAGTGATTTTCTTGTTTGACGGAAGCAGTTGTATAACTGGCATGATGATTAGCCGCAGGCCCTTGGCATGAATTGAGTCATCCACCATCTGCTGTTCTTCCAGACCTTCAATACCTATTGGAGTGTAATAGCACTGATATTGAATACCTTTGGTCAGATTTTCAATATAAAGATAATCAATACCTAAAATAGATGGGCTCGTGTTCTCAAAAAAATTTTGGTGTCATTAAGAGCATCAACTTTTAATCTCAACTCAGATTGAATTCTGACTCTTAACTTTAATAATGCCTTTGTTTGTGTAAGTCCTAATGTTAGCTACTTGAATTTTCTTTATTACTAATAACAGCTGTAACAGGTTAATAAGGAAAACTGACCTGCTGGAACATTGATCCAAAATTTCTATTTTGGGTAGTTTCTAATGCTCCATGTTTTAAAAGTATGCCTTTTAGTTACGTGAGTATTTATTTATAATTAGAATGTTTAGAGAAGATTGCAAACATCTCTGTACTTCCATCTCCTAGGAATATATGCCTCTTCCTCCAGAAGAAGCAGAAAATGGGGAGAATGCTGGTAATGAAGAACCCAAGCTGCAGTTCAGTTATGTGGAATGTTTGTTGTACAGTTTTCATCAGTTGGGCCGAAAACTTCCAGATTTCTTAACAGCCAAACTGAATGCAGAAAAGCTCAAAGATTTCAAAATCAGGTGATATATGATTGAGGTGGTTCAGTCCTTGGCAAAGGTGATGGCTATCTTTAAGCTCCCTGGGTTTTGTTTTTGTTCTACAAGAACATTCTCTCCACCCTTCTTTACACAGTGGAACAGTGGAGAGTCTAAAAAACAGGCATGTATGTAAACATAGGATAGATGTGGCATAACAATCCACTGGGGAAATGAACTTCAAAAAAAAAAAAAATGGACTCTGGCTCTTCTGATTTGCTTAATTATTTTGGGCAGGCTCCATAACCTCTTTAACCCCCTAAATTTTTCTCATCTATTATATTTGAGTGATATAGTATCTACCTACCTCATAGAGATGTGTGAATTTAATGAGACAGTGAATGTAAAGATTTTAGCAAATGCTGGCAAATAGTTAGGAGCAGTGCTAAAAAATTCAATATAAGTAGTTTTCATCAGGAAGTGTTTTGGATCATTCTGTTAACAAAATTCACGTCTTAAATTTTGAATGTTGAGCCACAGTGTCACCTTTACTGTCCTCTGTTGTGCCTGAGGGACTGATTTAATACTTAATGAAATCTTGGATTAGAAACAGGCAACCTAAGAAATTATTCTTTAATTTATTGGTCATATGCCATTTTCTGCACTTAGTATCAATTTGCTACAGTTGAAGATTGTTTAAGAGCAAAATTGGAATGATGAATTGCTAATTAAATACTTTTTCATTTAGGCTGCAATACTTTGCACGGGGCTTACAGGTTTATATTAGACAACTTCGCTTGGCTCTTCAGGGTAAAACAGGCGAGGCCTTAAAAACAGAAGAGGTAAGAATTTTGGTTCATGTCTCATAAACTGCTAATTCCATAAACACACTGTATAGGTACATGTTGAGATTTTCGGTTTCCCTAATCTTGCCTAATTTAATCAGTCTTCATCCTAGTCCTGTTGAAATACTTGAACAACTTTAATTACGTCTTCCTATAACTTAAAATGATTTCTTCTAAAGCAACTCTTATGTGCATCTATCCCTTAAATATTTTCAAAAAAAAAATGTGGACAACATTTTAAAAACGTTCTAACCTGTTGAGGGAATATGAGATTTATTTTCTTTGCCATCTGTATACTTTTGTAGAGTCAAGAAATAGGAATAAGCATTATCTAGATTTAAACCAAGGAATTCTCTAACTGTAGAAAGTATTCCGAAAGAGAAATTTTAATTACTCTAGTTCTGTATCAGAATGCAATATATGCATAGAAGCTAGTGGCATTTTAATTTAATTTGTTTTCTCTTTGCAGAATAAGATTAAAGTTGTTGCGTTGAAAATAACGAACAATATCAATGTTTTAATCAAGGTAAGTCTTTCTTTCCTTATCTAACCCTCCCAGCTAGCTAGAAAGACAGTTCGAAAGGTTTTCCATGGTTTTTTTAGGTCTGAAATGGTAGTGTTTAACAGAAGATGCCATTTCTTCCTCATTATTTTGCCTTTTGAAACTGTATACTTTTTTAATACCAAGTGGCATTTTTGCAGGTATCATAAAATCATATATTGTTTCACTTTATTTAAAGGTTTTGCAGAAGATAAGGGAAGCATGCAAACCTCCTTTGACCCAAAGCATTGCAGCAGATAGATTTAAACTCAGAAGTTTCCATGACTTTGAGTTCTAGTGGTCTGAATGCTGTTGGGCCCTTTGGATAGCCAGCAAAGTTACTTACTCTAGTGAGAAAGGACATGTGCTCTATAGCATATGAAATGTAAACTTGTCCATGTAATAAATTCAGAGCTTTTTGCACTGTGTGATAGGGTGCACCTTGCTCTCTATAGGTCTGTTTAGCTTTCCCAAACATCTGCTGACATATTTGTAATAACCTAGAGCATGAAGAAGACTGGTTAGTGTGTTAGCTAATCTGGTAAAAATCCCAAAAGAGAGAAGGAACATTTCAGAGAAAGTGAAAGTGTATTACACAGTGAGGAATGAGTGCATTATTGCCAAATAGAAAGGTGATAAAGCATTAAGAATAAAAAGAGGTTAAAAAATTAATTCACATTGCCACAGGAAATTTTTATAATGGTTACCATTATTACCAGTCTTAAATATAGGTAACAGTTTCACAGTAAATTCATTTATTAAAATCTAAGATTTGATTTTATTTCAATAAGTGATACAAATCTATGTTGAAGAAGATGAAACGAAGAATATTTTAAATTTGACAAGTGCGTGTGACATAATGCATGCCCATGATAAAATTTCCTCTTCATGAAAACATAAGAGATCTAAAGATGACTGTAGTAAGATGTATGGAAAAGATAAGAATGGGATTCTTATACCTATGGTAGGATATCTTATTAGAAAATCCTGAAATATTTTTTAAGTTGAGCAGGAATGTGTGACATGATTTTATTGTGTGTTTGTTTTAGGGGAAGCACAGGAAAAACTGGTATCCTTTGGACCACCCTTGGCATTTTTTACTGTCTTTTAGTTTCTACTTAGTAGGCTATTCTTATTCCACCACTTTTCTTCACTCTATTTTCATGAATTCCCAAACTGTACTTCAGTTTCCTATTGTCATGTGAGATTTAAGATACTTAAATTAACCAAACACAAATTAATGAGTGAAAGGAAGTCCAGTAGATAGAGGGAAGAGATAGGAGGGAAAAAGAGGAGGGAAAAGCAGGGATCAAGAACTGAAGTCAGTTAATTTCTATGTATGTATGAGTATGTCACGATTTAACCCAGCTACTGTGTATAATCATAAAGCTCTAATAGGAGGGGGGGAAAGGGAGATTTTAAATTGAAGATTCTGCATGTGGCTCTTTTTCTAAGCTAAGAACATTACTTATATCCTAAGTCCGTCCAGCTAAGAAACCTTAAGTATTTTTTACTCAAAGTGTGTTTTGTTGGCCAATTCACTATATTTATCCCATACACTAGACTTCAATTTCATGTAGTTGGAGGTGGTGTTTATTAGTATACTCATTTTAAATGGGAAAAAAATGTTTACTTTTATTAAATATTACCTGTACCAAAAAAAGAATTAAAGTAAAGCTATTAAGAAGTTTTATGGGCTGAGGTTGTAACTCAGTAGTAGAGCGCTTCTCTAGCACATGTGAAGCACTGGGTTTGATCCTCAGTACCACATAAAAATAAATAAAATAAAGGTATTGTGTCCATCTACAACTAAAAAATATATAATGTGTTTAGCAATCCACTCATGGTTTCAAAAATAATGAGGCTAAGTTATTTCAGTTCTGAATTATTTTAACATTTAAATTCAGCAAACGTTTTCATTTCTCCCATTATTGGTAACTTGGTATTTAAGTCATGATTTTTCCCTTATTGATAATTTATTTATAAATATTTAGAGGAGGAAAACATGATGAACCAGGATTTTAGTTTTGTTCTAATTTTGAGCCACTTAAAATTTGCAGAAGCAATACAGATTGCACCTTTGTGTTTTCCTAAATTGCACATTGGTGACTGCATTTATGCAAAGGAAAATATTTGATGGCTTTGTTTATTAAAATTGATAAATACTAATGTTTTATCTGAATTTTGAAATGATACTTTAAAATTAGCTTCATTCTAAGTGATATGCACAAAATTACCTAGTGGGGTAATTGGTGTGATTTGGAAACAAAATATTCCCTGTTTAATTTCTGTCTTGCAATTTTATCCTGGTCTCTATTTTAATCACCAGCACAGGAAGAATAAATCAAAGCTTCCTCCACTTAAACCTACCCCCCATTTTTTTTGGTAGTGGTTGTGCTGGGTATTGAACATTGGACCTCGCACAGCATTTAAGATGTGTCTACCTTCACCACAGCTTCCTGCTACCAATAGATACATTAAAAATTTTGTCTAATATTCTCTGCCCCCAGGATCTCTTCCACATTCCTCCTTCATATAAGAGCACAGTAACATTATCCTGGAAACCTGTACAGAAGGTTGAGATAGGGTAAGTAATATCTTTAGAAGGGATTTGAGTGTTATCAAAATCTGAGTTCACTTGTCACTTTACTGTATAAAAGGGTACATAATATAGTTTGATGGTTCTCAAGGTAATGTTAAAATATTACTATTAGCATAATTTCAAATACAAAATCTGATTCCAGTATTTGTAAAATAAAGTTGTAGAATACAATTTTGGAGACTTGCTTGTATTCCTATAGCATAACTAGATTTTTCTAATACTCTTATAAAATGAGTTACTTGTGCATAAGTCTATACARTTATGAATTTCAGATTATATTAGAACCTAATAAATGCCCTTTGACAATGTGTGATCAAGCCACAAATTAATCTGATGCTGTGGAGCATTATTTCTTTTTTTTTTTTTATGATAGGATTATCCTCTTGAGCTTTACAGCAGATACGCTAAGTTTATAAACATATAGATAACTTCTAGCATAATACAGTGTTTTTAATTACTGCTCTTCTAACTATTACAGGCAAAAGAGAGCTAATGAAGATACAACTTCAGGTTCACCACCCAAGAAATCTCCAGCAGGACCAAAAAGGGATGCCAGGCAGATTTATAACCCCCCCAGTGGGAAATATAGCAGCAATTTGGGCAACTTTAATTATGGTGAGCGTTTCCGTTTGGGTACAAGCAGTATGCAAGATTAGGCAGAAACTGGATTTTACTTAATTTTAATTAGTAATTACATGTAATATCATAGCTCTGTCAGGTGACTTTTCTGAGTTAGCTTGGGAACTAAAGTTGTGGGGAAAACAATTTCTCCCATTTCTTTCTAACTCATCTTTGTGGGCTCACTGAATTGAGCATGCAACACTTAAGCACTTAAGAATGAAAAATATGCTTCATGTATTTAGAGGAACCAACAGAAATGAAAGAAATTTGGCACTAACCATCCAGTCCTTGCTTTCTCATATCGAGCTTCAAGGCAGAACATTCTGGGTTTAGGGTTATAGATCAGTGGAAGAATACTTGCATTCTTCTTCAGGTATGAGTATAGCTTCTGCCAAACATGGGATTAATGACTTTTTTGGGGTCTTGTCTGCCTCTTTCTTTTTCAAAGGGAGAAGTCTTGAAAGTAGAATCAGGTATTTAAGCATTGCCTGATAAGAAATGCACATTCTATTGCAGTCTATCCCTTTGCCCAGAGTGTGTCTTCCTGTCCATATTTCCCATATCTCCTTGGCTAGGAGAGCTTCCTACCAGTCCATTCTCTCCCAAGGCTGTGGAATCAGAAGTAAAGTTTCTCTCTCATTGGCTTCTTTCCTCATAGATCTTTTTTTTAAAAGAATGGACAAAAATACGAGCTCAGCCCCTTATCTTGCTGAGGTAGACAAAGCAATACCAGCAACTGAACATGCTTGTGGTTGTTTTTGATTACCAATCAGAATTAATTTTGCAGTATTTATCATAAAGAGTATATCCTGAACTATATACTTCTTGTTTCCAAGTGAGATCACAGACCGAGAAAGAAACCCTTCTACTCCAGTCAACACTTGACGACAGTTTTAGGAAATATTTCAGAACTCTACTCTCACAACAATATGTAAATGTGCATCTTTCCACTTCTTATCTGAAAAATAAGGATATCAGAGCTCTTTATTATTGTACTAACTGGTGTCTTTGTTTTTTGCTTTACAAACAAGGTATTGGTTTCCACAAATTATTTCACCTTCCTAATACATTTTTAGTCAATTTATTTGTAAATATACACCCATGTTTTGTTTCCTTCCGGTACACATAGTTCCCTTTAGCCCAGAAGTGCTGAACATTCTATATTTTCTGACTTGTGTTCTTTGTCTTTAGCCTTTTTAGAATATACAATATTTATAATTTTAAGCCATGCAGAGTGGTGCACATCTGTAATCCCAGCTGAGGAGATTGAAGCAGGAAAATCACAAGTTTGAGGCCAGCCTGAGCAGCTGTCTCAAAATATAAAAAAATGGCTGGAGGTATAACTCTGTTGTGGAGTACTTGGCTAACATGTGTGAGGCCCTGGGTTCAATTCCTAGTATGCAAAAAAATAATAATAATAATTTTAATTGGAAGTAGTAGTTTTTTAAAGAAGTTAATATAAAGCTGGAAACCATTGAAAACTGTGAAAATGCAGACTGGTGGGCTGGGAATGTGGCTCAAGCAGTAGCGCGCTCGCCTGGCATGCGTGCGGCCCGGGTTCGATCCTCAGCACCACATACAAAGATGTTGTGTCAGCCGAGAACTTTAAAAAAATATTTAAATTCTCTCTCTCTCACTCTCTATTAAAAAAAAAAAAATGCAGACTGGTACTTCAGGATGCAGCCCTTCAAAACCAAGAAAATTTGATGAATTCCTACACTATAAAAATAGCTATATCAGGATTCCACCTCTTGGGTCCCCTTCTTCCTCCGGGAGAAGTCTTTTCTGCTGTCCTTTAATAAACTTCTAATTTCTACTCTGAAAAAATAAATAAATAAAAATAGCTATATCATTCAACCAGTACTAAAAAAACTACATCAAATAATATCTTCATCCCAGTAGCTCAGGAGGCTGAGGCAGGAAGATCAAGAGTTCAAAACCAGAATCAGCAATTAAGTGAGGCCCTGTCTCACATTAAAACAAAAATGGCTAGGGATGTGGCTCAGTGGTTATGGTATCAAAAAAAATGTAATAATGCCTTTATACAGTATTTAATATACTCATTAGGTGTTTTTTCATATGAAAATTGGAAAGATTATTTAGTAGTCTTTAGCCAAAAAATTTTGTCTGTTAAGTGTGTTGATGTTGAAGAAGAAAACAAGAAAATGAAGATTTTATGAGCTGAAGGTATAGCTCAGTGAGTGCTGCAAGATCCTAGGCACAATCCTTAGCACCACCAAAATGGAGGGGAGGGCACACTTTAAACATGTACAATAAAAATAATAATAAATTCTTGAAGGTTTTATGAGTATGGTAGGAGGAAAATGTGCAGATATCTGCATTGAKTGGCCCAAGTCTAAACATTAAAAACTGCAGGAGTTACAGCCCACTAAATGCTACTATCTCCCTGAATGTAGCCATTGTCACTACATCTTGTCCTCAGAACACCTCTGATTTTTTTTTCAGAAATAATTACTGATAGGTTAAGATATTTTGCATACATGGCATACACTTTGAAGACTAGTAGGATTTTTTTGTTAATTTCATATTAAATATAGAAATTATTAGTTTCATTAATCATCTTGGGTAGTGACAGGCACCAAAATAAACTAAGAAGTATAGGTATCTTAACATTGTCACCTTGTATGTGTTCACTAGGGTAATAAACATGATGACATTTTTCAATGGTTTCTATGCCAATCCACATACAAAAAATGTTGGCTAAGCTGGGGAAAGAGCTATTTATTTTCTATCTCAATTGAATTATTTCCTTCTAGGGGGAAAAAAGATAATCAAAAAATCCTAATAATAATGGCAAAAAAAAGAAAAGAATTATATGGTTGATTTAAAGGGTATTTTTCACACCATCAACATTGTGATTCAAAAAGCAAAACAGTCTCCTTATTGCTGCTAACAAGATTGCTGCAGTGAGTAAGTTTGAAAATTCAGTGAAGGGATTTGATCCTATTTCCATGTGATAAAAAGTCCACCCTTCCTGATAACTTCAGTCCATTTTCACTGGACTCTTGGGGAATATTTTTCTGGACTGTGAAAGTGACTAACCAGTGGATGAAAGACTCTGGATTTTTCAGCAAAATTATACCACTAATTCAACACACACACACAGAGCAAAATTTTAGTAAGTTCATATAGCTCATAAAACAGTGAAAAGAACTCTGCATTTATACCCATGTTTTTATGAATACAGGTGCCTTTAATATTGTGTTCCAAACCAAAAACAATGCCTGTTTGTTACATTTGAAAGGAAATTTTTCAGTCTACCCTAGTTTTAAAAAATTGATTACAGACTAATGGCTTTGTTAATTCCATATTAAGTATCTTTAATAGTGATAAACACCAAAATAAAGAACTAATGAGTATAATTATCATAACCTTGCCACCTTGAAACAATTAATGGGTTTCATTTAATTTAGTAGGTATGAACGTATAAGGCACTTTGCTCTATATACATCATGCCATATATGCTTCAGTATAAATGTTACCGATTTTAAGTACGAAATGAACTTGGAAATGGACTAGGAGAAAATCAAGTTTTGCTTTTAAAGGGCCTACTACTTTCCGAGGCACAAGCTCTATTTCTTCTGTTTGCTCTACCATGAAGTCCTGAGCAAGACCTAAACCCTTGTTCGCTTTTTCGTAGAGCAGAGAGGAGCCTTCAGGGGAAGTAGAGGTGGCCGAGGTTGGGGAACCCGAGGAAATCGTAGTCGAGGAAGACTCTACTGAGTAAGATATCACATTCTTCAGCATTGTCATGAGCTTAATATACTTAAATTCTACTACTCATTGGATTGCCGGGGATGTCCCTTTAAGGACTGCTGCCTTCAGCTAAAAACTTAATGTTCTTTATACCTTTGTATGTATGATCTACTTTTGTAATAGACCATGGTTATGTCCAAGGTAAAACCTCAATAATATTTTTGGATGCTTTGTCCACAATCTTGACTTGTTTTTCCAATATCATCATTATTCGGACTTCATATTGTGAATCTTTTTGCTTTTAAACATCTTGATAACTTGTTATTGAGAACTTTTGAGTCTAAAATGTAATGAAATTCAATTTTGTTCTGATATATGGTAAAGATCATCAGTTTTGAAAGGTTACTGATTTTCCTCTCCCCTCTTAGTTTTTTGCCCAGTATATGGAGAAGAGTAATGGTCAATCTTAACATTTTTTCACTGTTTTTTAATAAAGCTGCTAGGCAATGGTGCAGCATTTCCACCTACTACTGTCACAAACACAAAATACTTACCAGCTTTCTTAAAATGTAGAAATGATAATGCATTTTTAGGAGGAAGTAAGTTGCTTTGCACTGCTTACACTGTGCTCTTCTCCATATATTGCGATATAGCTTTTGAATATGGGATCTTACTATTCGAATAGAAATGTGTATGTATGATATACATATACACGTACATAAGCATATGTATGTGTACGTGTGTATATATATATATGCATGCCGTGAAACTTGAGTACACAAAAATCAATATTTTAAATTCCAGGAACGGGTAGTCTTTGACACGGTGATTATCCTTTTGAGGCTAAATCCACTATTCACTTGTTATCTAGGGTTTTACTTCCAGTRGAGAGGAATTTTGAGTCAGTTGCACTTACATGATTATTGTTATTTAAAACTAAAAATAAAGGCTGTATATTCAAAGATAAAATGTGGAGATCCCTGTTGGTGAAATACAGCCAAATGTGATGTACATATAGATTTTCACAGGATGACATAGCATAATTTAGGATTTGGAGATTTAATAACCAGGGCTACCAAGGAAAAAATGAATTGATAACATAGAACCAATAAGTAAGGGATGCTCTCTTGGTTTGCTTTTGCCACTTTCAAGATTTTAACTTCTCAGGTTATTAACCAAATTATTGTATAAGTTAGGTAATAGAGAATCTTTAGGTTAAAAAACAGATGGGAGGTTTGTGGAGTGTCTAATGTCATGGGCATTTTTAATAGCATAGACCCTTTGCTCTGCATTTGAATGTTTCATATATTTTTGTTCCACAGTTAATCTTCCCTTCCCAAGTTTGCTATTCAAATCAAATGCCACAATGACATTTCTAGTAGTTTAATGTATTTTTTGAGGAATAGTTTGTGATTCCAATGCAGGTGTCTTTGTTACCATTATTCTACACTGGGAAGAAAGCAAAACCCCTGTTAGAATTACTGTACATGTTTATGAGGAAAGTATTTTTTAAAAGGCTAGAATGATACAAGTGAGCATTAAGAAGTTGGTCAGCTTAACTGTGGAATGGTGGCAATAATCTAAACATTCCAAAGACTGAGCTGAACCTAAGCTCCCTTGGAATCTGAACAGACATAGGAACATGGAATTACCATTTGAAAATTAACCAGCTAGTCTGGACCTCAGAGACAGATCAGCCAGTGGCCTAAAGCCATTTCAAGGACAAACTCTATTGGAAATACAGCTATATAAATTTGAACATTAAATGTATTTTTCCCTTCTCTTTTTTAAAGCATATTTGTAAACTCAAAGCTGAGCAGAAGTGACTTGACTTCGAGTTTTGATACTGAGTTGACTATGTTCCTTCCCTCACCACCTCATCGTTCTACTTCCCATTCCTAAGGCAATAGATACCAACTTAGGGTTGTTTTATTGTTGTTGTTGTGTTGTTTTTCTTCATAACTTTGAAAAACTTCATGCCATGGATAGTTTTTCTTTTGCAAGACACCTGTTTATCACCTTGTTTAAATGTAAATGTTCCCTTATGCTTTTGAAATAAATTTCCTTTTGTAATTTTGTTTTGTGTCTTGATGTGTTATAATTATAATTTCAGATTCTTGGATACTTATTAACATTTATTGATTGCTTCTTGTATATCAGGCAGTATTTCAGACCTTAAAAATATAGACAATACTCTGCTATTTGAAGCCTTGATCAAACCTTGTATGTCATCTCATTCGGATTCATTTTTATGTGCTCTGTATCTTCTGAAAACAAGGTCTTGGTTCTTTTAAAGGAAGATGGAACTAATTTAACTATCAGTCTTCATTAAAAAGCCTTCCTAAAGTAGCACCAAGGATGGTTAGAAATGCTGGAAAGCTAGTGTTTAAGTGGATCATGATAAAATAATTAAATTCCTAGTCCTCCAACTTTAAGTACCATTCACATACTCAAAACTGCCAACTTTTTATCTCCATTGTTTTTTGCCCAGAGTTTAAGCATCTCCTAATTGATTCCCCAGGTATTACACTTAATTCAGTTTTAAAAAGCAGAAAAGAAACATACCACTCCTCTACTTGAAGCTGTTCAATGGTTCTATTTAAACCTAAAGTTTAAATAGAATGAATTTTAATCATAAAATCAGAAGGTTGAAATTTGAGTGTACTTGAGACAGAAAACCCAGGAGATGGATGTAGGTATGATCTTAGCTATTTACAATTGGTCACAAGTATAATTATTCCACAGAAACTACCCTGTATGAGTGTATAAACACTGCAAGACTTTGGATAATCAAACTTGGAGGATGACGGTCATACCATCCTCRGGGCCATCCTGGTGTCTTTGAGTTAGAATTCTGGATTTACTGGACACTGGTTTCATCCATAGCAGTCCTCATGCTTCCAACTGCCTGAAACCATTTGGCAAATTATTTCCAAATCAAATTGCTATATTTAGGTTTCCTCTGCCTCCCCTTTGAAAACCCTCTTCACTTTGCTTGTAGATCTGGGAAGATACACATGTATAGCTCTTCCTGCCATAACCAGATTACCTCCCTGTCCACCATTTCCCCCACACCAATTCAAAACTGTTCTTAAGGATTGAACTGTGTAGAATGCTGCCAGTAATTTCTTCCATTACTGTTGGGACATGCTATCTCACCTACCAAGAGGAGTCTGTTCCTATTCTTCCTTGAATCTAGGTTAGCCCTATTACTTTTTTTTTTAAACCAAGAAAATGCAGAAGTGATGCCTTGCCAGTTCTGGGCCCAACCCTCAAGGAGCCTGGCAGCTTCCCCTTTCATTCTTTCAGATCCTGGGACACACTGTAAGAAGCCCATGTAATTAACCTGCCTGAGAGAGGCCCAGCCATCTCAACCCTCCAGAGAACACCAGACATGTGAATGGAGCCATTCTGGAACATTTTAGTCCCAGCCAAGTTCTTAGCTAAATGCAGCCTATGAGTGACCCTGACCAAGACCAGGAGGAACAAAAGAACCCACTAGCTGTTCAACCCATGAACTATGAAAAATAATCAAGTTCAAAGGCTTAAAATTTAGGCTTCTAAGGTTTCAGTCAGCTTACTATGAAGTAAAATATAACTAACAATTTAAACCAGAGTGTTACCTCTGGGGGATACTTAGAAGATATTTAGTCAAGTTTTTTTCACTAAGGAATAAACAGAGATCCTTTGCAACTTTCAAGTAAATGGCCTTTATCTGAGAGAGGAAGTTAATCCAGAAAGATCATTTTGTTGATGTCCAATTCTTAGCTTCAAGAATTCTGTAATTTATAATAGCAAATAAAGGACCTTTTTGCTAAAATATGTTGAAAGATCAAATCACATACATTTATGAGCTTTCCTATATTTTTTCAATTAAGAAACCACAATGTGAAATCAATAAGCTATTTTGCCAGCTACCATCTTATAGTTCCAGAGGTTTTACCTGAAAGTATAATTATAGACAAGGAAACACCAGAGTTTAGAAAAATAGAATTTAAAAAGGGAAGAAGTGACCTATCTGGATGTAGAAATTAGTAGTAATAATTTTACTTAGTTTGGGATTTATAATTGTTTTATTCACTTAAAATGGGAAAGCTATTTTTGAGAGGAGCTGAAAAACCAAGTCAACAAGCTAAATGTGGAAGCTCTATGAACAATAAAAATATATTAGCATAGGAAACATTTTCCTGCCTGCCCTTGACTGCTAAGAATTAGGTAAGTAAAGAATTGAAGGAGGACAAGCCCCTGGATGATTTTTTGCCAACCCAGCCCTTCCCTCTCTTGCTTGGAATTCTCAGGCAGAATATACCAAGAATGCAACATCCTAAGCTGAGGAATTGATCTCCACAACAACCTGGGTTGTGTCCTCATTGTTTCTAGTAAAGTACTGCAATGCTTGGGCTCAGAAATACCATTTATACCCAGAGTATAAAACCCAGGTCAGAGTGCTTTTGGGGTCAGTTTTGGTGCACCTTGGGTCAGGCACAGACAAGACTCCATCCGCCGTGGGCAGCTTTCCTGAACCCTGGGAAACCAGCTCACAATAGACCTCAGACTTCTGTTTATCCTTGCTGCATATCTGTAATAAATTTCCTTTTCCTGAGTAATGTGAGTGTCCTGTCTCACTGGCAGAGATCTAAGAAGCTTTGCAAGAATTACTCAAAAGAATTTAGCTGTTAAAAATGTATGAAGTCACATCACAAAGTAACATGGTATTGTCAGAAATCAAAGGAGAAAAACAGAAGTTGACAGACATTTTTTAGATGGGATTTGAGCTATACCTTAAATGAAAGATTTGAAAAGGAGGCATGAAAAGGACTTGAGGCAGGGAACAGTCTGAGCAAAAGCACTCCCATGGGCCTGCAGGCCTAGTGACTCAGGAGGCTGAGGAAGAATTGCAAGCTTGAGATCAGCTTAAACAACTTAGCAAGATTTGGCAAATAAAAAGGGCTGGGAATGTAGCTCAGTGGTAAAGTACTCCTGGATTCAATCCCAATTGGAAGGAAGGTAGGTAGGAAGGTAGGTAGGTAGTAGGTAGCTTAGTTCAGTAAAAGACTAGAAGAATGGTATTTGGCAGTCAGGACCTATGGTAGCAGAATTTAAGATGATCCCTATAATCTTTGCCCCTTAAAATCTTCTATACACTAAATAYATACAATTTTTGTTTGTCAATTATACCTTAATAAAAGTAAAGTTTTAAAAATCTACCTTGAACGGGGGGAGAACACGTGATTATGTGTTATATGGCAAAAAGAATTTTTGCAGATGTTGTTAAAGTTATTAATCAGTTGACTTAGGGTTTATTCAAAAGGGAGGTTATCTAGGAGGATAATCTAGTCACATGAACCCTTTAAATCTGGGCCTAAAGATAGAGATAGTCAAAGATTCAAATAATGGAGACAGTCTACTACTTTCCTTAAAGAAGTCACTGCCTTGTTGAAAGGGCCACGTGATTAGAAATAGTGGGTGGCCTTAATGTTAATGGTCATGGTCAGCAGCCAGAAAGAAAACAGAGACATCAGTCCTACAAAGGCAAAGAACTGAATTCTGCCAGGAACTTGAAGAATGATCTTGAAGATGACCCCCAAGCCTCAAATGAGAGTGCTGGCTTGATTTTAGCCATGTGAGATTCTAAGCAGAGAACGCAACAATACCAGGACAGACTAGTGCCCCACAGAAATCTGAAATAATGTGTTAAACTGCTAAAATTTGTGGCAATTTGTTACATTGCAATAGAAAACCAATCCAGGACAAGGATTATCATCTAGGAAAAAAAGAGGTAGGTAGTACATTAAAGTGGAACCTATAATCTTGTATCTTTAAAGGTTAGCTGGCAAGTGTCAAGAAATCAATAATAGTCAAGATGTATGATATTGCAGACACTCTCAAACTTCTCACATATTTGTTTACACTCAAGCTCTAAGGTCAGGTAGATCTGAGTCCAAATCTAGGCTCTACTACTTATGAGCAATATGGTCATGGCCAAGTTACYTAACTATCCTAAATCTGATAAGTTGTGAAGATGAATAGGAACTATGGCATGTGCAGCACCTAGGATGAGTTAAACACTCAAATGCTGAAGAGATGGACTGGGGACTGGGGTCGTATCTCAGTGCTTATAGCAATGTGCAAGGCCCTGGGTTTGATCCTCTTTTCCATGAAAAGAGGAAAGGCAAGAAAAGACAGATGACTGTCAATATTTAGTAAGAGTACTCTCTTACTTTATATCTAGGAACAAAGTGACTCCATCATTTGCCACTTCTCTATTTTAAAACTTTAGAATACTCTTTATTGTCTGTTTTAACCTAGCACAACATTAAAAGAAACTCTTACAGCTTGCCACCAACTTAACCTTTACTTTATTCTGTTTGAATTATGAGGTTTGTGCCAAGCCTCTCCCCCCTTGTGGGTTGCTCTCTCCTCTGCACATATGCCCTTTTACATTTCCATTATCCTATACTTTGTTAACTTGCCAATATTCCACTATATTGCACACTGCGCAATGATCAGATTCCAAACATAGATTCTAAGTGCCAGGCAGAAAGTAGATATTTTCAGTGAAATGAATATTTATCACTTTAGTCCTTTAAGAAAAGGTGCTCTCGGAATAAAGCAAAACAATGCTGTGGTCATTGTTTGAAATATGAAATATTTCATAGTATGAAATGATGTTTAACCACTTCACAACTTTTGTTTTCCTGCAATATACCTATGTAGGGAAATGTTGAGGCAATAGTCTCATCTGCCTTTTCCCAAAGAGAAAACCAAAAGCATAACAAACCTAAATACAAAATGACACACAAATCTAGCAGGCAGCACTGAAATATCTAAAATGCCCTTACCTAGCTAGAAGCTCGAATCCAATCTAGTTGCTTGCCTGCTTGTTGGTTCACAACAGAAAAGGAGGTCTCAAACTTTAATAYGCAATATCAATCACCTAAGCGGGGCTTAGGTAAGAGATACTCTCATTCAGCAGGTTGGGGGAAGAGTAGGGCTTAGAATGCGCAATTTTAATTGGCTCCCAGGTGATGCTGCTTCCCCTTTCCAGCCGAGACCTGCAGACTCCATCAGTGCCGCCCACTACGGTAGCCCCTAGGCACGCGAGGCCGTTAAGCCCCTGAAATTCGGTTATCCTGAATTTACTGAGTGCAAAGAGCGTGCCGATTTCCAAGTCTTAAGAACAAATGTAAGTAAAATATCTCAACCACACGTACAGAACGGGTGAAGGAAAATGCGTTACCGGAGTTGGTTGCTGTTTCACACCGCACGCGGCCCACATTAGAGTGCTACTGGACGACGCGGCCGGTTCTGAACCTCCCGCTACGGTGAGACCCTAAGAACCAAAGTAACGGCCCTCTGCCATTAAGGAGTTCAAAGGCATACTTTTCGTTTCCCAACCATCCTTCACTATTAAGAAAAAAAGCAATGATTTATTTTAAAACCCAAAACACTGAGTCTTCTCACTTCGGATTAAGCTCCACCCAAGTCTACTCGTTTTACCTCCCTCTGGTTCCCACGCTTGGAGATCATATCCCCTACACAAAACAATAAACAAATGCAGCGTCCAGCCCTGAGGCGCGGCTTCTCATTTGCCCGAAACCCTGCTCCGTCGCCGCCCAAACAGTGGCTGTCGAAGCTAGTCGTCAGCTGTTAGCGCCCTCTCGGCTCCTCCTCCTCCAGCACCGACCTCCCCAAGATGGCGGGCGGCGGCGGCCCGCTTCCGCTTCCGGTGTGAGCGGCCGGGCCGGGGGGGCAAGATGGCGGCGGCAGTAGGGGTCCGCGGCCGGTGCGAGCTGCCGCCTTGCTCCGGCCCAGGCTGGCTTCTCAGCCTTTCCGCCTTGCTGAGCGTGGCGGCTCGAGGGGCCTTCGCCACCACCCACTGGGTCGTCACAGAGGACGGGAAGATCCAGCAGCAGGTAGCGGCCAGGGCGACCCTCTGCGCCCGCCTTCGCCCCGGGGGGATTCCCCAGCCCGGCCCCTGGCTCTTTAGCTCCGCGCGGCCCCRCCCCCAGCCTCCCTACTCGGGTCCTGGCGGGAGGGTCCCGGCGCTCTGGGCACTCGGACCTGGCGCCGCCCCCTCCCCACTTGTCTGTCGACACTCGCTTAGCCACCTGGAAGTTCTCAGCTTTCCACCCTTGCGCGCCGCGTGGGGAGAGTCGCCCAACCCTGGGACCCTCGGGACCTTTGCTTGTGCTGGGACTTTAGAAGTCATACATTCATTAGCCCTGACTCTGGTGCCTCTAGGGCCCACGCGTCACCAGCCCTCCGCCAGGAAGTAGAAAGCAGGTGGCGAGGCCGGGGTGTGCGCGAGTCCCAGGGCGCTGACAGCTAAGGTACCCCTAGTCAGTGGATCGTTTAATGCTACTTCGCCCCAGTCACCTCTCCTCGTGGAGGAATTTGTTTCAGACTGTGGTGTTGCTAGTGCGGTTTCCGAGGTCAGCAGGGGCTCCTTAGAGACAGCGCATACACATACACTCTCTCCCTCTCCTTGCAAAGGAATGCTTGAAGATGCCTCTGGTGGCGTTGCCTACATCTTTTCAGCTATAACTGCCCTCATTTCCCAGTGTACTTTGCATTGTTTCTTTACCTAGTTCCTGTGACCCAGCCCCCCTTGGTGGATATGCGATTCACAGGATTCTTGTATGCCTGAACTAATTCCTTAAAGGAGAGACCGCTTCTCCTTACATAACTTTATGATGCCTGCATTTTGTTTATGCTGCTGATGCCTGAAAGAGTATGTGTGTGTGTGTGTGTGTGTTCAATCACAGAATCTTGGTAAACTTAATGACTTCCAGCACTTGAGAACAGTCTTGAAATGTCCAACAAATCTTCAGAAAGTGAAGTGCCTGCTCCCACTGATCCGAAAGATTTTAACCAGTGTCTGCAAAATTACTGATCCTTTGAGTTGAACGTAGTAAATGGTAATAGAAACACACTGCAAGGTTTGCTTTGGTGGAAGATGATATTTAGATTTGGGTTTGCAATGTGATAACAAACTTTACAATGAGCATGGAACAAATATAATTTAAAAATCAGCCTTTGTGTTTTTATTAGACCCTTACATCATTACATCTATATCTCATTCACATTCAGAAAGTTTTCCCTTTCATGGCCATATCAACTGAGGCTTAAAATACATGTGTGGGTCTCAGAAGCCCTGGAAAAGTCCATCTTGTGATCTAAGATTGGAAATCTTCTWTTAGGCCTGGTTGCTTCCACCTGTCTTTTGTTTCCTGATGGTGRTTTCCCTGGGCCTTCATGAAGGGAGACATGGAATTAAGTCACTTCTGCTGCAGTTTGGGGAGCCCTTCTCCTATTGGCTCTTTTGCAATATTGTTTTTGGCCACAGCTATTTATACTCTATGACATTGACTCTCCTTCCCATTTTGGTGTCCTGCCACTCAGCTGACAGCCCATCGGAAAAGTGGAAACTGATAGAAGTGTAGTACTTATATGCTGAACATTTCCGTGGGAAAGTGAAATCTAAGTTGGTTTTGTTCTTTAACAATTTCCTTCTTTTGCACATTGAATATATTTTAGATAGATAGATAGATAGATAGGTCAGGGCTGGGGATGTGGCTCAAGTAGTAGCGCGCTCGCCTGGCATGCGTGCGACCCGGGTTCGATCCTCAGCACCACATACAAACAAAGATGTTGTGTCCGCCGAAAACTAAAAAATATAAATATTAAAATTCTCTCTTGGGGCTGGGGATGTGSCTTAAGMGGTAGCGCGCTCGCCTGGCATGCGTGCGGCCCAGGTTCAACCCTTAGCACCACATACAAACAAAGATGCTGTATCCGCCAAAAACTAAAAAATAAATACTAAAATTCTCTCTCTCTCTCTCTCTCCCTCTCTTTCACTCTCTCTTTTAAAAAAAATTCTCTCTCTCTCTCTCTCTCTCTCTCTCTTACACTCTCTCTCTCTCTCAAAAAAAAAAAAAGAAATGGAGGTCAAAAAATTTAAAGAATGTCATCATTATCAGCACTCTTATAAAAAATTCTTTATTGGACCCAGGTTTTCTTTCTTCCAGTGTTAGAACCATAGTTGTTTTAGATTTGGAAAAAATTCTTAAAGAATACAGGGTACAAGTCATAGGAGAGAAAGTTGCCCAGACTGAATGGCATTTAGTGATAACAATAAGTAAAAATGTATTGATCTACAGTAGCTCACAAGTGTGTACTTTGTACTCAATAAGTTTAAGGTGTATATTTTTTCTTCTCATAACATCAACCAAGGAATAGGAAGAAACAAAAGCCAAAAAAAAAAAGGAAATAATGAAGTAAATGCCTTCTCTCTCAGTTTACTTTACCTCTGCCAAATATTTTGTGATAAGTTCAGATTGAGGATAAGTAGGAGGGGAAGGGTTCCAAATAAGTGTGACTTCATTTGGTGATTACTTATCATCATGTTGCCTTCATTCAGGCAAATRTCTCAGGGAGTACAGATCTTTTTAAGCACTCACAACAAATGAGGTTTCTGACAAAGCTAAAATGTCTGAAGCCTTACAGTCTTGGCAGAGATTTCTATTTGATAAGTGACTGTTTCAGCAACCATGACTCAAAGAAGAGCTATCAGATTTAGTTGGACAAAGAGGTTAAATCTCTATCAGACTTAATACATTGTAAGTGGAGAAGTGGTATATTTGGGTCTGATGTTAAGTGATTTGATTAATCTGAAAGAGAGCATCCCTATGGTACTGTGAAGCTGATGGCTTTATTTCAGCACCTTTTAAAAAGGAAACCATCTGTTTGTCATAGAGCACTGTTTCTATGTTTATACACTTCAGGGATTTACTTAAACTAGAGAGGTCATCGTGATTATACACTAACTTTCTAGGTACTATTAAACCTTTGCAATTTACACTAGACCTTGACATCAAAGTGATTCTTATTCAGCACCTTTTCTTTCAGATATTGAACACTATTGCAGATTATCTAGGTATTAACTTTGTTTATACTGTAGAGCAGTAAGAGGAGCTTGGAAATACACAGAGGTAAATTACAAATTTAAATAATTTTCCCAGTTATTTACTGAGCAAATATTTGTTGACTGCTGTCTTTTCGCCAGCCCACTGTGCTTTGATGCATGTGCTCTTTTCCACCACAGGAGATTATCATTTTTCTTTGGAGGCAAGTGAAGCTCGCTTGTTTTTAACCATCCTCCCTGACTTCTTCTTCCACTTTTCCTCTAGATCAGAGGTTCTCAAACTTCACTTTGCATAAAAATAACCCAAGGTGTTTGCTTAAAATGCAGATTCCCAGGGGACTCAGTGCCTGATTCACTAGACTSAGGGTGGAGTCAAGGAGCCTACATTTTTATCAAATTCCTCAGGAGGCCACAGGTCATTTTAAGAAATTCAGTTTTAGACATTGTTATTCCCCCAATTTCTGTTCTAACCTTCTCTTTCCCTCTCTACATATACCTGGGCAACACTATCCTGTCTTGGGAATTGAATTATCATTATATGTGCTAAGAATATATTCTTTCTACACTCCAATTTTTTTCTCCAGAGTTACAAATTTGAGACCTCTAATACCTCTAATACGAATTTAAAATTCCATGTGAACATCCCTAGGTACTTCATGCTTAATAAGACCAAATCAAAGTGCATTTTGTTCCCAAACCTGTTATTCCTTCTTTTTCCTCAAAGACACCACCATGTGCCAACTACCCTTTTGCCCATGGCAGAAATCTAGTCATCTTTTTTTCTTTCTTTTTTTTTTCTTTCTTTTTGCTGTACTAGGGATTGAATGCAGGGCCTTGCACATGCTATGCAAGAGTTCTACCACAGAACTACATACTCAACCCTTTTTATGTTGTATTTTGAGAGAGTATTGCTAAGTTGCCCAAGCTTTCCTCAAACTTAGGATCCTCCTTCCTCATCCTCTTGAGTAACTGAAATTACAGGTGTGTGCCATCATGCCTGGCTCTAGTGGTCATCTTTAATTTTTTCCTGCCCACTACCCCTTACCAAGGTCTTTCCATCTACCTTATAATTTTATCTTTTTTCTTCCCAGAGCCGCTACCATCACTTTTCAAGCCCCTGATAATTGTCACAGCTTCCTAACTGTTGTCCCTCCTCTAGTCATGTGCTGCTTCGAGGCCATTCATAGTGCAATTAGAGTAATCCTTTTAAAATGCCTTTGCTTTAATTTATAACTTTGGATTACAAAACTAAGCAAGGCATTGGAAAAATATATTTAGCATCATGAGAGTATTTCAYACAATAATAAAATAATAAAGTGAACTTCTCCCAACTCTGTCCAATCTCATTCCCCAGCCAGAACTACCTTTAGCAGTGTGGTGAATAGCCCAGAATGCAGTCCGAATTCTTTACCATGTTTTATGACCTGGGCCCACCCTTCTCTCTAGCCTTGTATCTGGCCATCCTTAAGTGCCTCATCCTCACACCAGAATAAAACACACACACATACACACTCTTAGCAATACTTAGTTTTTGTAAGCATCCCCAAATATGCTGTGTTCTCCTTTGCTTCTGGGACTTTGCATGTGTTCTTTCTCCAACATCTCAATCTGGCTAACACTCACTCTTCATAATTAAATRTAACTTTCTCAGTAAAACCTCTATGATGCCCAAATTTGAATAAGCTGTTCTTTTGTGCTTTCATAGCATCCTGAACTACATTATGAAAACATTTACAGCACCAAGCTGATGTCTGTTTACTTATCTAAATGTCCACTTTATGCTCCCTGAAGGGAGTGGCTGTATCCATCTCCACAACTTCACTAATCTTTCACACTGCCAAAAACACAGGGTCTATGATACATGTCTGGCAGTTGATGATAAAGCAAGTTTAGTAAGCAGTTTTTGCCTTTTTAGGCATTTTCAATATTCTGAATAAATACTTACAGTATTCTCTAGTGTAATAATTATTTGGAGACTTAGCCTAAAGG